CAGGAGCCCAAAATGCTGCTTTAAGTGAGTCACTTGTTTTTTTCCTGTACGCAGGAGTGTGCAGACATCATTACTCATGCACACAGCCGATGATAAAACATGCCTTTCTTTTAGTGCCACCAAACAAGTTCAGTTTAAGGTATGTTTAAGTACAAGGTGTAATTGTCAATTGATTGCTACAGTAATCGTTAAATCCAGTTATTTTAATTTACATTTTTCCCTATTTTCATGCCCATCGATCTTCTAAGTGCTTAAATGTAATGATTATGTTCATATTTGTGCACATATGTGATGAGTGTTCAGATCTTTACATAGGAAAGGCCAAACAACCATTCTTAACATACTGTGCTGTGAAAAAGTATTTCCCATTCCTCATTTCTGATTTCCTCCTGTTTTTTGTGCATATTTGTCACAATTACATGTTTCAGATCATCAGACAAATGTAATATTAAACAAAGGTACCCCGAGTAAACACAAAATGCAGCTTTCAAATGATGTTTTCATTTCTTAAGGGAAAAATGTATTTAAACCTATCTGGCCCTGTGGGAAAATCGTGAATTTAATTGTGATTAACCAAAACTGAGTTCAGTCTCACTAAACACACTCAGGCCTGATTACTGTCAGACCTGCTTAAGTTAGAAATCACTTAAACAGAACCTGTCTGACCCACCAACCCCAATTTAAAGAAACAAAGTCAGTGACATCTATCACTCTGGAACAGGTTACAAAGCCATTTCTAAGGTTTTGGGTCTCCAGTGAAACACAGTGAGAAACATTATCCACACATGGAGAAGACTTGGAACAGCGGTGAACCTTCCCAGCAGTGGCCGACCTTCCAAAATTACTCAAGGAGGTCACATAAGAACCAGAACAACATTGAAAGAACTGCAGGCCTCACTTGTGTCACACATTCAACAATAAGACAGAGACTGGAGAAAAATGGCGTCCATGGGAGAGTTCAAGGAGAAAACCACTGCTGACTAAAAAGATCACAAAGGCTCGTCTCACATTTACCAAAAACATCTTGATGATCCACGTGAACATATTCTGTGAACTGACGAGACAAAACTGAACTTTCTGGAACAATTGAGTTCTGTTACATCTGACATAAAACCAACAGCGTTTCAAACAAAGATCATCACAGCAACAGTCAAACATGGTGGTGGTAGTGTGATGGGGCTGCTTTGCTGCTTCAGGACGACTTGCTGTAACTGATGGAACCATGAATTCTGCTCTGAAGGAGGATGTCTGACCATCAGTTCAAGACCTGAAGGTTTTTGGAGTGACCGAGTCAAACTCTGGACTTAAATCATATTAAGATGCTTTGGTATGTTGTTAGAAAGGCCATTCAGATGGAAAACCCTCCGACGTGAGTGAAGAGGACCGGTCCAAAATTCCTCTGCAGTGATGTCAAAGATTTATTGACAGGGATCACAAACACT